TAGAGGTAGGTGATTTTATTTATTTAATTATTTTTTAAATCTTTCACCGTGAACCACTAAAAATGCTACTTTTGTGTGGGAGAAGCCAGTAGGATTTCAGATTGCTATTGAGATCATCTCTAGCTCATCCTCTGCCTTCCACTTCAGCCTGTGAAAAAAAATGTAGCACAGCATATTTTCATTGCAGTTATCAGCATCTGTTCTGATATAACTCTTTCCAAGATAAAATTATCATCATTTTATTATGATTTTTTAATTCTTTTTTCAGTTGATAGATTGTAATTTATTTACTGGATTGATTTTTACAATATCATGAGGAAGCACATTAATAACAATTCTGCTTGATTGTAGTGCTAGAAGTTGTAGCTAGATTAATGTGACAACTGATGGTTTTTGTTCTTGGGTCTTATAGAAACAATGTAAAGTAACTGATGTCATTTTACATTTTTTGAAATATTTTGGGATTGGCATCTTGTACTTGCTGCTGTTGTAGGATTAAAATTAGGAAAGTTACCAGTGTTTGAAGTGAGTTTGAAAAGAAGATTGTGATACATGTGTGAACATATTAATTAATTGAATGCTCCCAATATATAATTAAATATACTTCAGTATATTAAATATACTTCAGTAATAATTCAGTAGAATTTCAGATTTTAGAATATAATTTCTAAATCAATTGCATTATGTGTCTAACAGTCAGTAATAATGAAAGTTGAAGACAAAATGCTGTTAACTGCAGAGTTAGCAAGTAACTCAGTTCAGGGTAATCTTAGTTTTCCATATGTAAACAATGTTTTATGAGTTCTTATTTGTGTGTCTCAGTTCTCTCACTTCTTGGTAATCTGTCCATATATCTTGTTAACAGTCAGTCAGTATAAATGCAGAGTGAATTTATATTTTTTTTTTTTGTAATTTCACATGAATGTTGTTTTAAGCTATGCTCTTACATAAGTAACTGAGAGTTTGCTTTTAAATGGAAAACTGTTTTTTTAATTTTATTTTTTTAGTAATGCTATCCTACTTTTTTTTTGTTCTACTTTGACTGGAGTTATGTAGGAGAATAAGCAATAAGCAGTTAGTTGAAATATTTTTTGATCTCTGTTAAATAAGTATGAATCTCTTGACTGAAGAGGTATCTGTTCACATGCATTGTTACTCTGTACTGATGATTGCTGTGGTTTTGTGGTGAGTTGTTTGGGAAAAAAGCTGAGTCAGCTACTGACACATTTTTAACAGGAAAGTTAAGCTGCTCAATATGAAAGTGATAATATTTATTTCTAAGTGGGTGACGATGATAGCTCAAATTTTATTTTTTTTTTTTTTTTAAGTGTATTCCAACAAAAGCTAGAAGAAATGTTGCTGGCAGTCTCTCTTTTTTTATGCCAGTGCTTTCTAGCATTTGGCTTAAGGAAATGTAAAGATTTTTCTCGATTTATATTTAAAGTACTTTTTTTTTTCCCTATAGTAACTGAAAGGGATCTGGTAAGAATGGTAGATGCTTAAATTCAGATGTAGCTTATATAGGTGCATGTTAATGTTTCTGAGAAACAATAATCATTGGCCATAGGTCTGGCAGAATGCAAACATTTGTACTAATTTTTGAAAGTGACATCACATACAGATTTCAGAGTTCACTCAGTGTTTTTTGTATAAAGTATAATAGGTAGCTGTAATTTTGAAGGAGGCTCTATTGTATGGCTCATGGGCCACAATGTTAGATGGGTATTTGATTTAATAAAATTTACAATAAAAATGTATGTCTAATTCTGTTTTAGTAATTTAAATAACCAGTTATATTAAATGTATTGTACTAGAAAAATCTTACATTGCTGTTTTCTATTTTTTGCAAACTTATTCCTATATTTGTAAATAAGAAATATAGTGTAAGTGTTGTGCATATGCCTCGAGCATGGCATTTTAGCAGTGCTGAAGTCGTACTTCTTACATGACATCTTATTCCATGTTTAGAGTTTTACATTGCCATGAATCATCATGGTTTCAGTAGCCATAAAGTGCTATATTTCTGGAGATTATATGGCTTTCTGTGTATGCTGCTTTGTTTTTTTGTAAGCTTGGTTTTGTGTATGCTTTTTCAGGTCAAGTCAAAAACCATATATGGCTAATAATGTTTTCTTTATTCTAATGTTTATATCTTGTCATCATTTATAGAGGAAGTCAGCCCTGTCAGCTTTAAAAACTTTCTGGACATCATGTATGTAAACATGGTGGACTAAAGCATTTGAGTGATAAATTCGTCTTGACAGATGACAGAGGTGGTTCCATTCAGCTGCTCATTACTACCTGCTAAGCTGAAAACAGGAGAAAAGAGAACAACACTTGTTTTCTGTTTCTACTTTCTGAATGTAAAACAAAAGTCTGACTTACTAATTAAAATACCAGAGGGACTGCAAAGTATAGAGTTATGGACCAAATTACTAACTGGAGGCCCTTATTTTGTATTTTCATAATGATTTTCTATTTTGATAATATTTTTTAACTTGTTATGCAGGTTTTTTAATCTTAATAGGGTAACTTATACACACATAAAACATTGTAAATGGCTTTAGTAAATTGAGTCCATTAAAATTAAAATGTTTTACTTGTGAGCTAGTGTAAGTATCTTGAGATAGGCAGATGTGACTCAAATCTGGAAGTAAGGACACTGTATTGAGTTGTAAACATAGAAAGGAATTAGGTGTTCGTAATGAAGTCGAGTATGTGACACTGTTTTTTGGCCACAGGTAAGTTTCTTCATTGGTGAAAGGAGGTTACTTATAACTTTGTAGTGGCATCAATGTGACAAGTACTGAATTCTGCACATAATTTAGGTACCTCTTTTTAAAAAAACCTGTTTTGAGCAAGATATGTAAGAACACCAACTTCTGTAATTTCACAAAAGGAAGGCTGGAATGTGTGTTACAAGTTCCCAGTATTCCCTTAGTATATTCTTACACCAGAGGGCTTCACTGTTGAAGCCAGGCTAATTAAATATGGAAATAAAATACATTCTTTTAATTGGTGATAAGTATTGCAATATCCTGTCAATAAAAGAGTTCTTCATTTCCTTGTTTTTCTTATTTAACCCATTTTTCTTAAAGACTTGTATAAAAAAGCTTACATTTGCATGTCTGCTGTTGGAAAAAAATACCTTAGATACGCTTTTCCTAACGTTACGTTCTGACTTTTCTTCTGACGATCTAAGGATAGGAAGAAAAAAATGCAAATAACAGAAGGATCTTAGATTATTGTTTTTAAGCAAAAGCAGTAAGACTATTTTGATTAAAAACCAACATCACAAACCTCTAGTACTTTGAACTCTTAATATGAAATTATTTTATAAACATGGGGAACTTTAGACATAGTACTCTGTAGCTGCCTTGTGGAAGCTGGTAACAACAGTCTTCTGGCATTTGTATTTTTGAAGTGTGTTTAGTACTTTAAAATGTTACAAAGAAGCACAGAGCAGATGCAGTTGTAATAGAGGAAACTGATGTCTCTTGAGAATGATTTGAAGTTAATGTCTTTAAATGTGCAAATGCAGGAATAGATATTCTCAGAATATGTCTCAGGGCATTACACCTCCTTCCAAATTCCCAGTGTTTTATTTCTCTTTATATGCTTAAGTGGTTTGTGCAGTCTTTCTGAAATGGTTATGATTGTGTGCGTTAATTATATATATGGGTATGATTATACATAGTTTAAAAATAAATGGAAGCTCTACTCTGCAGATAATTGAACAATTAAACTGGATTTTTAGGGGTTATGTTTTCATTATTCTCAATTCTAGGAAAAGAGACTAGTGAAAATGCCCTCAAAAATGCTGTGTTAATTTGCTTTTAGTTTGCTAAAACAGTTCGGGTTTGGGTTTTTCTGGTGTGGTTTTTGGTGTTGTTGTTGTTTCTTTAACCCAGAGCTATTGTGGACACAATTATAAATCTGTGCCCTGAGTGTAAGTAGTACTGTAATAAGGTATGAAAAACTTGGGACTATTTTTGTACCTCAGAAACCACCCAGAGTTAGGGATGATTTTAGTTTTAAACTCGGACCTGATCTACAGAGAAGGAAAGTGAAATCCAGTGCTTCATTAGGGGGTATTCTCAAAATAGATTTTGTCGTTCTGTGTAGTACAGTATTATAACAATGAGCACCATAAAAAACCTCACATTGGAGGAAAAATGCGTTTCAGAGAATTGGATATTTAGAGTAAATGAGGCACAGAGGATGTATACTGAAGAGGAAAAAAAAATAAATCTCAACTAACCAGCTTCAAGTGAAGAAAATTTATTCTACTGAATGAGGAAGAGGTCCTGTGCGTATGAGGAAGTGCAAGATCAATAGAGGCAATGATATCAAGTTATTTTGAATTATATAGCCACACAATCCATATGTACAAAAAGGCAAAAGTGAAACTGGATCATAAGTCTTTGAATATTGATACTTTTGAACTTTGAGATTACCTGGTTTCGAAAGGTGAGTGATAATATAAAGCTATAAAGTCCAAACTTAATGTTTCCTTAAGCTTGAGGATTCAATAATCTTTTTTTGATTTTTATATTATTTCTATAGATATGGTAGTTTTATTCCTGAATGTGCATCTGTTGTAGCCTTAATTTAAAAAGTTTAAATGCGGTATTTTTGAGGTTTTGTGGGTTTTTTTTGTGGGTTTTTTTTTTTTTAGGAAGGAGCTTATTTAAACCTCTCTTCATACCTTTTTAAAATTCTGCTTCAATTTACAGTTAACCTAAAACCTTCTGAGTTTAATTTTTTAAGTCTTTCACAAGTCAAATGTAATACTCATAAAATATTTAATGAAACTGGTACTACTTTCATTATTCCCGTTTTATCTTTTACCTGTAGTTTTTTATGAGGTTTTATTGTTGCTTTTGTGTGAAAAATGTATTTTTAGCTTCAGACCAGCTTGAAATCAGGTAGGAATTTTATTGGTAAGTTCACTGATCTTATTTAATCCCTTACAGTTACTTCCTATCTTTATTTTACAGATGGAATACCTCAGGTTCACTATTTTGGCCCATGTGGCAAATATAATGCTATGGTGCTAGAACTACTCGGACCTAGTCTAGAAGATTTATTTGACTTGTGTGGTAGGACATTTTCTCTTAAAACCGTTCTTATGATAGCCATACAGTTGGTAAGTAGAATAGAAATTAATTTGAGTTTTCATTAGAATAACTAAGTCAGTCTTAAATGGATTAAATGCTTATTTCATTTAAGAGACTTGCACTGCCCATGTTTAAAATAAAGTTTTAGTAGGAAGACTGTCATGTCACTTTCAGTTACTTTGTTCTAGTTACTTTGTTCAAGAGCCGTTGCATGAATGTAGTTCTATTGTGTCTTCCAATTTGTCATAATCACAATCTGAAATAATGAATTTTAGCTTAATGTACTCAATTAGAAAAAAAAATAAATCCCAAATCTTTCTGAAATAAAAATAGTTTTAATTCACAAAAGGAGTTGGATGATGGGACTCCTAAAGTAGCATAAATATTTTTCCTGGTTATTCTCAGAAAGAAATCAAGCAAACAAAAAATCAAATCCCCAAACCCATCTAAAATAGAATAGTATTATTAAACAATTTTTTTTTTTCTGATTTTTTTTTTTTCTGATTTGATTCCCTTCTGATGATAGGTGGATCTGGAAAGAGAGAAAAAGGGAAATAAGGCTTGCATTGTTTACTTTGATAGAATGTGTTTTAAATAAGTTCTTATGAAAAAATAATGATACTGAACCTCCACTTCCCTAAATAGGTAGTGTTTTTACCAGGCAGGGTAAAAATAGCTGTTTAAAACATGACTGTAATTGTATAACAGGCCTGAAACTATAGACACATTCAGCTTATTTACAGCCAGAATGGCAAAGTTCATTTTTTTAAAATGCTCAGATTATCACAGATCATCTTTATTCAGTACTTGCTGTTCTTCCTGAATATACACATTTTTGTAGAAAATGATCAGGCTAGAATTGAGGTTATATGCATACTGGTGAGCTACCATTGCTTCTCTTGTTTATACCTTTAACATGTAATAGATCCAAATGGAACTTTGCTGCTCACTACTTGATGGCATAGTTTTTGATTTATGTTTCAATGTGCACAAAATATGCTTGGTACCAGCTGTTCTTAAAGAAGATAACTTCTCTTTTATACTTCATTTGTGTCTCATGTCCAGTATGAAAGTTTCAAGTATACCATGTACTGTGTCTTCTTAAAGGATGTGCACAATTTTCATTGACTTTAAATGGGATATACCATGTTAAGAGCAATAGCTGTTAGGTTTTCAGGTAATGTGAAGGGAGATTTCCTCTAAATATAAGGTCTATGTAAGTTATTTAGCTTCTACCACAACTTAAGGTAGCAGCCAAAAGCTTAAACTAAACTATCGGTTCTTTCTTTTATTAGATTTCTCGTATGGAATATATCCATTCAAAGAACTTGATATACAGAGATGTAAAACCTGAGAACTTCTTAATAGGACGACCTGGAAACAAAACACAACAAATCATTCATATTATAGATTTTGGTTTAGCAAAGGAGTATATAGATCCAGAAACAAGGAAGCACATACCGTATCGGGAACACAAGAGCCTTACAGGAACAGCTAGATACATGAGTATAAATACACATTTAGGAAAAGGTATGTATGCTTTTTTAAGTGCAGAAAGAATGCAACAGCTGTCATTTGTCAGAAATCATCATGTTTTCAAGTTGTAATTTTTCTCAGTGTATAGTCATAACTGCAAGTTTTGTGTACCATGCAAAATTACAGTTTGTCCTTGCAGAAATACTGTTTATGGGAGTATGGTGTTCTGAGTTGCTAATCGTCATGTTTATGTCTCAGCAAACAATAGTTATTTTTGTCAGATATCCGTAAAAGAAAGATGATGTGTATCTTTCTGTATCATACCATCTTCACATTAGAAACATATCGTAGCAGGTTGGGTGTGTGGCAGGTAGATATGCTTATTAAAGATACCAAAGTGAAAAGATTGCAAGAACATGTTTTCAATTCTACCGTGCCTGTTTTGAGCCCTTTGAAATGCACCAGGTAGTGGAATAAAAGTAGTTTATATTTTATGATGCTTTCTCGATTTTCTTAGTGGTTTTTAATGTTTATACTGTTAATGAGGTTTTGTCAGACTAGTTAAAAGTTACACTAGTGTTGTAAATATGATGCACGAAAGAAATGGCAGGAGGTATATATAGAGAAGTTGTTATTATTGAATAATAATGTTTGAGCACTCAAAGCAGTCTTTTTTAGGTTTGTTTGTTCCAGTTATATAGAGGTTTTCTAGTGAAAACAGGTTTGACACCTTTGAATTTATGTAAACAAGTTGGTTAGCATTGCATGGTAACCACTAATTAGGTTGCTCTCACAGTTACTTTGTATTAATATGGCAAATGAGAAACCATTCACATTTTCTAAATAGTAATAAGGTGCTTTATCAGTAAAGTCAGACTGTGGTAGTTTGTGGTTAGCAGCTGTAGCTGGTGAACTGATGTTAACATGCAGAAACATAGAATTGTTTACGTTGGAAAATACCCAACTGCTAACTAGCCACCCTTTACACTAGCACTGCCAAGTCCACCATTAAACCATGTCCCTCAGTGCCACATCTACATGTCTTTCAACTATCTCCAGGGATGGTGACTCCACCACTTCCCTGGGCAGCCTGTTCCAGTGCTTGACACCCTTTTGGTGAAGAATGTTTTCCTTATAGCCAATCTAAATCTCAGTTGGTCCAGTTTGAGGCCATTATGTCTTGTCCTATCTCTTGTTACTTGAGGAAGAGACCAACACCCACCTCGCTCCATCTCCTTTCAGGTAGCTATAGAGAGCGATAAGGTCTCCTCTGAGCCTTCTTTTCTGCAGACTAACAAACCCCCCACCCCCCCCCCCCAGTTTTTTAGAGTTACTTCAGTGGAAATTATAGAATTAATTAAAGTAATGGGTGTTTGAGAGAGCTTCTGATAAGTATATGAAGCATTGGTGTTTATTATTTTACTTATAGGTGAGGAATACTAAAATTTAAACAATATTTTTGTCAAAGAAACACATTTAATATCTAGTATTTAACCAGGTCTTGTGGAATGCAACAGAGCTTTCTGGAATGCAGCTTGCTTTGCTAAGCATAGTAAGTGGATTTATAGCCATGGAGCAGCTGAGAAACAATTACCCAGTTTGCTCTTCTGTTGCAATTTCAGGAAGGCCGAACTCAGTATCAAAACACCTGATACTCGTCTTCCATAATCAGGGACCAGTAGCCTCCAAAAGTTGATTCTGTTAGATACTGGCTACTTCAGAGCTGACAGCTGTCTTTGCTTTCAACTGTGTACCCACAAAAAAGACATGGGGTGTTGGTTGATGAGAAACAAAACATGAGCTGGCAATGTGCGCTTGCAGCCCTGAAAACAGCTGTCTGCTGGGCTGCATCAAAAGGAGCGTGGCGAGCAGGTCAAGGGAGGAGATCCTGTCCCTCTTCTCCACTCTCATGACACCCTGCATTCAGCTTTGGGGCCCCCAACAGAAGAGGGATGTGGGCCTGTTAGAGGGAGTCCAGAGTAAGGCCACTTAAATCATTGAGAGGGCTGGAGCACCTCTCCTGTGAAGACAGGCTGAGAGAGCTGGGCTTCTCCAACCTGGAGAAGAGAAGTCTCAGGGGATACCTTACTGTGGTCTTTCAGTAGCTGAAGTCTGCATGAAAGCTGGAGAGAGACTTTTTACAAGGGTGTGTAGTGATAGGATGAGGGGAAATGGCTTTAAGGTGACAGAGGGGAAATTTAGGTTAGAGCTTGGAAGTTTTTTACTGTGAGGGTGGTGAGATTGCCCTGAGAAGCTGTGACTGCCCCCTCCCTGCAAGTTTTCAAGACCAGGTTAGACGTGTCTTTGGGAAACCCTGCCCATCGCAGAGGGGTTGGAATTAGACGATCTTTTAAGGTCCATTCTTACCCAAACCATTTTATGATTCTATGAAGTGTGGAGAAATTTTGTCTCTGAGAGAAATTACCTTATAGAAGCAAGGACACCAGTCACATGCTAAGGGCTGCAGAATATTTGTATTTCCTTCAAACAGTGATCTGAATAAAGCCACATTATTTTTCACGTAAAATTATTTCAGATACAGTTTCCAGCTTGGCACAAAACAACCAGAAACCCTTGATTAGAAGTCAGTTTCGGAAAGAAAAGATTATTGAATTTATTGTCTAGACAAAGTTCAGTAACTGTGTCACCTTCTATATACCCCTCAGAAGAGTGGACCTTGGCAATTTTGTGCAAGTTTTGATGGTGTCTATATGTCCTGCTTCAGAAATTAAAGAAATATTACTTTTTGAGTGGGGAGTCACAAACATACAGCAAAACCAAACTCCATATGAAGGAGAGGCCATGAAAGTTAAGAGCTCCCATTCATAGTGTTCAGTGTTTGTTAGACCTCAGTGTTTGTTAGACCTCAGAGATCTTGATGATGAGTTGTCACCCAAGAAATGCCTGCAGAATAACCAGGTCAGGAACCACTGATCTGAATCTGAACTGAAGCAGAATCATTACATGAGGTCATGCTTCTCTGCATAGTTTACCGACATCACTTGTAAAGATTTCAGAAAGGCACAGCACTGATATGAACACCGACCCCTGAGGAGCGTCACCGGTCTCCACTTGAACAGCGAGCTTTTGACTGCAGCTTCTTGAGTCAAGCCAATTCCTTATCTACTGAGTGGTTCATCCATCAGATCCATAGTTCTCCAATTTAGAGACAAGGTTGTCATGTGGGACAGTGTTGAATGCTTTGCACAAGTACTGGTAGATGACATCAGTCACTCTTCCCATATCCACCAATGCTGTAGCTCCATAATAGAAGGCCACCACATTTGTCAGGCATGATTTGCCCTTAGTGAAGCCATGTTGGCTGTCACCAGTGTCCCCCTTATTTTCCAAGTGCCTCAGCATGGTTTCCAAGAGGATCTGCTCCATAACCTTGCAAGGCACTGAGGTGAGACTGATTGGCTTGTTGTACCCTGCATCTTCCTTTTTTCCCCTTTTAAAAAAGGGTGTTAAATTCTACCTTTTCCAGTCAGCAGGAACTTTTCTGGTCCCAGGGACTTGTGCACTTTCACATTCCTTGCATGATTTGAACCTGATCTTCTCCTACGGCACGTAGTTCTTCATTTTCCCCGTCCCTGCTCTTGCCTTCTGTGTATCACCCATTTCTTTCTAGAGAGGGCCTACATTTTCTCTAGCCTTCCTTTTATCACCAATATACCTACAGAAGCTCTTCTTATTGCCCTTGATGTCCTAGGCCAGATTTTATTCTGCCAGGGCTTTAACTCCTGGCTGCTTTGTTTCTCAGCATTCCTCCCAGCCTACCTGTCCTTACTCCTACCCTCTGTAGGCCTCCTTTTTTATGCTGAAGTTCGTCCAGGAGCTCCTGGTTCATCCACAGAGGCCTCTTGACGTTCCTGCCTGACTTGCCTTTGTCAGCGTGCATCACTCTTGAGTTTGGATAAGGTGATCTTTGAATATTGACAAGCTTTCTTGGGCCCCTTTTCTCTCCAGGGCTTTATCCAATGGTACTCTACCAAGCCAATCCTTCAAGAGGCCAGAATCAGTTCTCCTGAACTCAAGGGTAGCAAGGACCTCTCACAATTGGATTCTCACTTGAAAAAGGATGTTATCATCAAGGCATTCCAGGAACCTCCTGGATTGCTTGTGCCCTGTTGCCTTGTGCCTTCAACAGATACAGGAGTGGTTGAATTTCCCCATGAAGGCAGGGCTTGTGAATGTGAGGGTGCTCCTGTCTGCCTGTAGAGGGCCTCATCTGATCAGTCGTCCTGGTTGAGTGGCCTGTAGCAGACCCCCAGTGTAATGTCCCCTGTCCCTGCCCTCCTTTTAATCCTGACCCATAAGCTCTTGACTGGCTCATTATTCATCCCCAGGCAGAGCTCTGTGCACTCCAACTGGTCATTGACATAGAGGGTGACATCTGCTCCTTGTCTCCCCAGCCTGTCCTTCGTTATAGAGCCTACGTCCTTTTGTTCCAGTCATAGGAGCCATGTCACCACGTCTGTGATGCCAGTAAGATTGTAGCCCTGCAGGCCTGTGCACATGCCTAACTCTTTTTAGTTTCCCATGCTGCGTGTGTTTTAGTTGGGCCTCTTCAGGAAGGAAGAGAGGGATCCCAGAGAATGTAGGCTCTGACTGGAAGCTTAAGGAAGACAAAAATATGCATCTGTAAAAGTTCTACAATTTTCTGTATTTACTGGAAATCTAAGTTGTTGATAGTTTGGGGATTTCTCTAAATCCAGAAAAACAGTGTACTGAATTGTTGTCTAAGATACTTGGCTACAGAAAGTATAGTCACATGAATTTGCTTTAATATGGCTGTCTCTAAGGGTCTGTGTAGCAACCACTGTCCTTGGTTGTATTGGTCTTTTCTTTGTGGTGCTGAGGCACAAATGTTAGCTATTTTACAGTGGATCCCTGAGACTCTTGGGAATGAAACAACTCAGCTCTTCTAATGCTTATTGAAAGGCCAAATGAAGTCAATTACTTTAAAGAGTACTTTTGGTACAAAATCAAAAGAACCCCAGCCTTAGCTTTATAGTAGATCTACTCTGTTATCAGAGCAGTCATGATCTAGATTTAACATCAGTTTTCTAGGGGCCAGACTTCTTTGTAACTTAAACCAGCAAAAAGTAATTCTACCTTGGCTCAATTTTAATGCACTGCTTTATTATAAATAAATATTTGGACCTAGAATTGTATTAGCCTAAACCACAGAGTTTTTCCAGAAGCTTGGAGAAAACCAGTGTTTTTGCAGGTACAGGCTATGCTTTGTGGCGATAGGCCTCCACGAGTTCTAGCAATTTCTACATGTCACTGAGCCAGTAGTGCAGAGTGAAGTACTTTTCCAGATCTAGGACCCCCATGGGAAGTCCCCTAGTCTCCTTCTTGTACCCGCAGAGTTATCACTGGACCTGAGGGGCAGGAATTCAGCTGCCATAGACAAATACCTTTTTCTGTGTAAGTTAACCTTGTAAATCAATAATCACATGAAACAATGCTTCTAATACAAACTGAGCTAAATAAATCTTTGCTTCCTTAATTTAGGATACAAATTATTATTTTTCCCATTATTCTTAACAACATGGCAAACGATGTGTCCTTACAATAAAATGGGTGTAGAACTTAATTTTTATATTTGAATCATTTGCTTCAGGGTTCCTAATTTTATTTGGGAAGTGTCCTGGGTTCAGCAGTAGCAGTCATTTTTCTCCTTAGTAGCTGGTGCAGTGCTGTATTTTTGTTTCTCAGCCTGAAAACAACGCTGATAACACCGATGTTTTTAGTTGCTGCTCAGTAATGTTTGCTCTGACCAAGGACTTTCTGAGTCTCATGCTCTGCCAGGGAGGAAGGGAAGCTGAGAGGAAGTAGAGACAGGACACCTGACCTAACCCAGCCAAAAAGATATTCCATACTGCAGCATGTCATGCCCAGTGTATAAAGTGGGGGCAGTTACTCAGAAGGGTTAGATCACTGCTCAGTTGGGCTGGGTATCGGTTGGTGGGTGGTGAGCGGTTGTATTCTCTTCCCTTGTTGTTTCCCTTGTCATTATTATTATTGGTGATAGCAGCAGTGGTTTGTTTTATACCTTAGTTACTGGACTGTTCTTACCTCAGCCTGTGGGAGTTACATTGTTTTGATTCTCTTCCCCATGCCTCCAGGAGCAGGGTGGGAGGAAGGAGGGCAGTGAGAGAGCGGTTCTGAGTTATGGTTGGGCTTAAACCACGACAGGAATGAGTGCTGTTCTTTCTCTCAAATTATATTATTGTATGGAATCATATTATTTTTAATAAAACTGCAAATTCTGGATGATAGCTTTCAAATTTATTTTTGCTAAATTTTGACCAACTCTTTGTGTGCAGCCACCCAGACAATTCTTTATCCACCAAGTGGTTCATCTATCACATTGATGTCTCTCCCTCCAGTTTAGAGAGCAGGATGTCATGGGGGACAGTGTCAAATGCTTTGCGCAAGTCCGGGTAGATGATGTCAACTGCTCTGCCCCTGTTCGTCATTTCTGTAGCCCCATCATAGTAAGGACACCAAATGGGTCAGACCGGATTTGCCCTTTATGAAGCCACGTTGGTTATTATCAACCAGCTCATTGTTTTTCATGTGCCTTACTTAGCATGCTTTCCAGGAGAATTGGATCCAAGATTTTGCCAAGTAAAGAGGTAAGACGGACTGGTTTGTAGTTTCCCTGGTCTTCCATTTTCTCCTTCTTGAAAATGGGGCTATTTTTCCCATTCCCTATTCGTCAGGAACTTCACTAACTGCCATGATTTTGCAAATATGACAGTGATTTAGCAACTTCATTTGCCAGCTCCTTCAGGACCCGCAAATGGATTTCATCAGGTCCCATGGACTTGTGCACATTCAGATTGCAAAGATGATCTCAAACCTAATTCTCTCCTACCACATGTTCTTAAGTCTTCATTGTCCCAGCCCCTGCATCTGCCTTCCAAGACTTGAGTGCTGTGGTCAGAGCATTTGCCAGTGAAGACTGAGGCAATGACATCATTGAGAAGCTCAGCCTTCTCCAAATCCAGCGTAGCCAGTTCTCCTGACAGCTTTCAAAGAGAGCCCACGTTATCTCTAATCTGTCTTTTGTTTGTTACATACTTAGAGAAGCCTTTCCTGTTATCTTTGACATCCTTTGCCAGACTCAGTTCTGACTGGGCCTTAGCTTTCATGATCTAGTCCCTAGGCTCCCGAACAGTGCCCTGTATTCTTCCCAGGCTGCCTATCATCCCTTCCACCTTTTATCAACTTTTTTGCTTCTAATTTTTTTTCAGCAGCTCCTTATCCATCCATAGAGGCCTCTTGCCCTATTTCTTTTAGTCGGGATGCAACACTTCTTAGTTTTTAGCAGGTAATCCTTGAATATCAACCAGCATTCTTAGGCACCCCTGCCCCCTAGGACTTTATCCCATGGAACCTTACTAAGTAGGTTCCTGAAGAGGCGAAAGTCTGCTCTCTTTAAGTCGAGGGTGATGAGCTTGCTGCATCTCCTTCTGACTGTCCTGAGAATCAGGAGCTCAACGATCTCATGATCACTGCAGCCAAGGCTGCCTTCGAGCATCACATTCCTATCAGCCCCTCCCTGTCAGTGACTACAAGGTCAAGCATGGCACCTGTGCTTTTCGGCAGATCTGTTACTAGGTAGATGAAGTTGTCTTCCACACTATTAAGGAACTTCATGGATTGCTTGTGCAACAGAACCTCTCAGTCTCATTGAACTGTGATGCACTAGGTTCAGCGAACATCAGCAGCCCTTTCTCCAGCTGATTCTTGAGATCCTTTTCTGTTTCACCAAGTCCACTGCTGGGGTTCTTTTGGTTTTTTTTTGTTTGTTTTGTTTTGTTTTGTTTTGTTTTGTTTTGTTTTGTTTTTCAGAGGCCCTGCTTCCCACAATGGCAATATAATCTTTGGGTTTATTGTTTCTCAGGTTTATCTTAAAGAAATCCATAATTCCATCCCTAGGAACGGGTATTTGATTCCTGTTTTTTAATTGCTCCAAATTGATCAGTGAAGAACTCAAGTGGGTTTAAATAACAATATCCTTTCCCCAAAATTAAAACAAACAACAAAATTCTTTCACATAGAGGAGTCTTGAGAGCATTGTGAATTCAGTGATGTATCCTAGAAGTATTTCCCACAAAACCATCCTGTAGAAGTGTCTTCAATGGTCAAAAGCTTATGAAAAAGAATTTAAAAAATCTCCTTAATTAGAAATCATTTCAGGGTAAAGATTGAGAGTTTGTCGTTTTGTAGAAAGGACTCCCAGTGAAGGAGTAATTGCCTCAATAAGGGGTGGTTTGTTTGGTGGTGGGTTTTTTTTTTTTGAAGAAGAGGAGGCTAATATTTTTATCAGTGTAACCTGTAGAAGTTAATGCAAAAGAGAGGAATTATTACCCCTTAGGAAAGACCAAATAGAACTTTGCAATACATTTTTGTGTTGTGTCCAATACCTTAGTGTTGCCCATAGATGGGCCATATGTTACACACTAGTTACATTTTTGTATGCTTTGTTTTTTTTTATTTTTTATATAAAGACATTGCATTGCATAAGACACTTATTGTGAGTAATGCTTATGAAATACTCACTTCCTATACAGCCTATCCCAGAAAGAGTACAGGATTTGTACTCTATTAGAATCAACGTTTCCTTGACTCCAGTTCATGAGAGCCACGGAACTCTACTGCTTATTCCTGCATTCTTCTTAATCTATGTGATTGCATCAGGATAGCATATGGACTAATGCTGCTCTACTACAGATGAAAAATTGTGCCCATGCCAGATGTTGTCTTATGTAACTTAGCTTTTAACTCAGCTGGATTGAGAGCAGGCTGTATGTACATGCCTCTCTCTGTGTTGCTTTCTGATTAAATAATAAGACTCATGAGCCTTTTTCAGTCCACCTTTAGCTTACTCAGAAATTCCATAAGTGTCCCTGAGGAACAGACCATCTTTTTCATGATTTTATAGAGGAAAAATGAGTTCATTTAAAGATGTCCTACATTGTTTCAATTTCACAGCCAATGGGTAAAAAAAATATATGAATTAAAACCCAATTGTGTATGTAAAGGTTCAAAATACAGTTTAAAATAAAACAATTTATTTCAGCAAGATAATCCATTTCAAGTACTGTTGAGATTAATATATCTGCAGTCTGCCTCTGCTATTTTTTGTTTTAGCTATGTTCTTAGTACACAAGAAGACCCCCATGTGCTGTTTGACTTCAAGTACTTCGCACTCCCAATAATTTTTACATAATGTGGAAGCTGATTTTTTAAATATAATGTAAAACTATGCAGATTGAATGTTCTAATAAGATTTGAATTTTGTTTCAGAGCAAAGTAGAAGAGATGATTTGGAGGCTTTAGGTCATATGTTTATGTATTTCCTCAGAGGAAGCCTTCCATGGCAAGGTTTAAAGGTAGTGTTTTTTTGATATCTTCCTCTGTCCTGTTTTCAGATCATCAGCTTTTCTTACTGGGATCTTTTTCTTTTTGAAAGTTTGCCTGCAAACTGTATAGCTTCAGAAGCTTCTTTTGTTCTTGTGTCATAGGCCGATACATTAAAAGAACGCTACCAGAAAATTGGGGACACAAAACGAGCAACCCCTATAGAAGTATTGTGTGAAGGCTTCCCAGGTAATGCACACTGTTAATGAAAGTTAATGTCATGACATTGATTTAGAAAACAGAACTGGCATAGATAGTTGTTTAATGTATGGTTTTAAAAATAAATATAATAATGCTTCCAAATATGTGTATTATGTGCTATGGTAATAGATACAGGAATAATTCTTTGAAGTGGCAGTAAGCTAATGCTGGTGTTCTTCAAAGATAGTTTCTTCTAAAAGAAACATAAAAAAAAATACATACACTTACAATGATCAACTTGACTACACTTGTATCTTCACACGTAAAATTTTGCATCTCAGATTTGATAGCTTACCCATTTTTAAAACAAGCTGCATTAGCAACCGCTTGAAATAATATCTAAAGTAACTTGCAAGTAGTTTTAGTTATCACTTCTGATTCTTTTTAAGTGCACAAAGAATTGATGAGGTATTGAAAAATTGGAGAGAAACAAATTTGACATTTTTAAAAGATTGGGCTAACCAGCTTGACACGCACATGACACCAACATGATTTTTCCAAAATAAACACTCTGAAAAGTAATTGCAATATCATTGATAGGCTGAGAATATCCTTGGATTTGCTGAGAATACTTCTGGGTGGTTTGATTTCCTTTTGTTGAAGGAATTCCTGTTCACAGTGGGCCCTGTGGACAGGAGGCAGATGTTTAATGTCATGACATTAAACATTTGTTTTTGATGCTCTTTTTAAATATCCTCAGAAGTAATCAAGATGAATCTACTATAGGAAGAAGAGTGTAAACCACTTTGAAATGAAGTACGTTGTTGCTGAATTTCAAACATGAAATGGCATTGCATAGACATCTATGTTGTATCTGTTCAGTATCTGAGAATTTTGTGTAATTGAGAATGTCTGTTAAGCTTACGTATGATAAGTTTGAAATCTGTAGGCTTTACAGTGGGGATAGAATTGAAGGATCCTGACAGTTTACAAATACACCCTTAAAAATATAAGTACAATTCAGTAAATCATATTCAAGGTACTATATGAAGGTAAGATTGAATCAAAATTAAGAATTATTGGGTGTGGAATGATTACTTAGGTAATGACTTAAAATCAGTTCCAAAGTAAGTGCAAGTGAACAGTATCATGCTTCTGTATTAAAAAAAAAGAAAAAAAAACACTGTATACTAAATCAGATTATATGAACAGGGTATAGCCTGATAGACACATGAATTGCCATTTCCACTCTACTTGATTCCACAAAGCATCAGCTAAAGAAGTGTGTTCAGTTCTGGGGACTCTACTTGAAGAAAATATGTCTTATTTTAAGGGTATCTCACAGAGAAGTGGCAGTTCTTATGTGCAATATTTGCTAGACTTATCGACAAAGACTTGAAAACGTAAGGATTGTTTTAGTCAAGATTGTGAGGGAAAGAAGTTCTTCTGTAACTTTGGGCTGCTACAAACATGAAAGGGATCACTGTGCTGCGTCTACAGCAGCTCAACAATGTAATGGATGTAATTCAAAACAGTTTAGATTTGAACTCCTGTGTTTCAGGTATAGTGTGAACATGAAGGGATTGCCATTACAAGGAAGACTGTGAAGCTTCTTTCACTAGGCTTTGTGAAAACAAACCAGACAGACAAGGCTGTGGGATAGGGTGGTGTAGTTGATGACCTTTTGAGATTCTTTTCAACCCTGTGGTAAAAATGAGTCCACTATCAATTTTTCTTATGTTTTTCATTTTACTTTCTTCTGTGTATAAAAATAAATAATGAAGTGAAATTGACTTTGGTTACAGAAATTAGAGCAACTGTCTGAACATATGTTTGGTGAATTAGTGAAAGTTTAAATGCAGGGGAAAAAGTCTGTTCTATAGTGTAAGTCACCTGCATCAGGAATGCATGCATGTCTTACATGTTGATTTTTACCTAGTTGCTAGAATCCTTTAAATATGTAATTTAAGGTGTATATGGTGCAATTTGTGGAAATAATAATGCATGAGTAGCTCCATATATCTAGTGACTGTTTCCACCAAATTTAATCAAGTACATGCTTATTGACAGGATTGAAAATGAAACAGAGAAATGATATTTGACCTTGTAGAACACAAAAGATAAACTTCTTTGACAGCACATATGTTCATTTTTATAATAAATGTGTTCTTGTATGTGGAAGTTTTTGCATGTTAGATATCTCAGGATTTTCCATATTTTCCTATCCATCTTTGTCACTCAAAACATAAAATAATTTCAATTCTTTTCAGTCAGCCTGTGGATTGAGATAGCCGATTTATGTCCATAAAGCAAGAGAATACTATCATCAGTGAAAGATAATTTGGTCTCTGTCTCATGTAAAACACCTACCATTTTCATCCTTTGTTTTGTGGAATTGTACTGTCTTTGAGTGTGCAACACTGCTTCTGTTTAAAGCTTCATATAATACATGAGCAAGGATTTAAACTCTGGAGTTTCTACATCCATTGCATGATAAAGTTGGTATTTGATTTTTGGAGTCAGCCAGCTGTGACACATTCAACTGAATTAAGTGCCTCTGATCCAGCCTTCATTCCTCTGAAGACATGCCTTGCATGCTTTTGTTTCCAGTTTACATTGAGAAGGTATGGTTAAAGTCCCTAGCAATGTCTCAATATTTCTTCTTGCCTCTTGAAATGCTGACTTCCTTGGCTAGAATTTCTGAAGAGTTTTGCTTGTATGCTGAAGTAGGCCTTAGATGCCACGGAATTCCTCCTAGCCAGTGCTCCCATCTGCTAAAAAATTGCACTTAATACTCTGTTTTTGTCAGAAATAAGTAATTTGGGTTTTCTTGGCACCCTGGTCCTGAGGTGCATTCTTGACAGCACCAACATGATGTTGCCTCACAACTTTTTATTATCAAGCTGGCCTGAAACCTTCACTTGTCTCTCTTTCAACCCCACTCTCTCTGAAGAAGTTAAACTTAGAATAGCTCTATCTTAGCACTGCCTATGCACTTCTCAGCCATCTTCTGTCGGAAGATGGGTTTCTTACAGCACCTTGTTTGTACCATAAAAAGGTAAGGTTCTCCAAATTTACTGGAATGTGATGTGGGTGAGTGTACAGTGATACTACTGGGCTGCTTCTGAAATACATACCTCTTTCATAGGATTAGTGAGTTCATGTGGCATCTACTTTTGACCTCATTCGTCTTTTGACTTTCTTGTCACAGACAGGTGGCTTCTCATGTACTTTGGGACCATGTGAAAGCCTTTTTGACTTGAGAATGAGTTATCATTTCTCAGAATGGCTTGCCAGTGGGTGATTTCCCACTCTTGTCCACCTGGAAATAATGTCCCAGGGCTCAGGTCAGGTGCTTCACCTGATCCATATCAGATTGTGAGAAACTTTTGCAGTACTCTGTTCCAAACCACTACAGTGTGAATGCCTTCTGCAGTGGAAGGACCTGTAGAACTTGGTCTTTTGTGAAAATTTATTAACATTTATATCTTATTACCATCTGCTCTTTTCTCAGACTTGTATTTCCACATGCCCCTAATTTCACTGACTCCTGAACGAGTTACTGAAAATGTACGTTTGCCATATAGTATTGTACATAGTCACATATCTGAGCAGTTTCTGTATGGGATTTGAAGCTTGTGCTTCAGATATTCATGAGTCCTCCCCTTCAGCCCTTGGATTCTTGTATTATTCTGCCCATTAGGATGCTTGTTCCTTATAGCTGTTTTCTCAGAAGCCCTTCGTGGCTTAAACCCATTCTCAAGAATGGAACTTCTGTATGCTTTACTAACCTGCCAAGAAGTTTGCGCAGGAACTTCTGTCTTAGCTAGCCTAATTAGGTTCTGGCAGCTAGTGTGCAGTCAGTATTTTGTTGCTTTAATGACTAGGAAAGTTCTTTCCTGTTATCTTTACAGGTCCTGGCCCTTTCAGAATCTTCCTGGTTATCTCCACTACTGGGAGATATCTTATAATATCCATGTAACATCTCCCCGAATGCATCTCTATTTGTATGCTGACATAGTATTTAAACAGTCACATTAAACTGACAGATATTTATATCTGACCAGGTATAAACTGGTCAGATACTATTCTGCAAAAGCTCAGGTAACCTTAGTATTTCCCTGCAGTGTTTCTGTATAGGATAATTGCTATTTCTGCTCAACACCTTCACATGGTATGATGCCTGAAACATTCAGCACTGTTTCAGCCTTCCATTGTCATAATACAGTTACAACTCAACAGAGCCTGTACTGAATTATTTGTGAGGAAAATTGGCATTCCCCACTTGTGGTATATGTGGATCCTCTAAAGAAAGAATGGTTAGATTCCAGTAGCAGATGTTGAGACACAAGACTACCTTGTAGATTCGTATACCCCCTTCTTTCCTTTTCTTAGGCTTGTCTTTGTAAAATTAATTGGAAAAGAAAAATATAATTGAAAAGTAGAGGTGATTCTCCACTTTTTGGCACACTGTGCATCAGGACTGGAAGGTTGAATGGAAGATCTTGACAGGTAAATTAGTGTGGGGGTTGCTTGGTAAGATATGTTTAGAATATGGAAATTTATTTTGAAGAATACTATTACTATTAAGTAACGTTTCTTTCTGGTAAGTCACAGATTCATGGTGAACAACTGTTCAGATATTATGGTGAGAGATAGAAGTTACTTTAAAATGTAGTAGTAGCTTCTGATTTTTGAGTGCCTTTTAAACAGGTATGGCAATTATGTACATTTCTTATTTATGTAGAGGAAATGGCTACATACCTACGTTATGTAAGAAGGCTAGATTTTTTTGAAAAGCCAGACTATGACTACTTAAGGAAGCTCTTCACAGACTTACTTGATCGGAAAGGCTATATGTTTGATTATGAATATGACTGGATTGGCAAACAGTTGGTGAGTATAGTATAAGGTACTAGTAATATGTGAGGTTTTTTTGTATGACCAGTTTTGAGACATTGTTAGTCTTCAGTTTCAGAATACATGTGCATCTCATGGCTGCTGTTATAGATGTGAACACCTGCTATGACAAATCGGTTTTCAGAGGCATTTTCAAACATAATTATTCAGCTTGAGATGTTTCATATTGAGTCTCTTTTCAAATGTATATTCTTTAACATCAAAGTATATCTGTTCAGTCCAAAATGAGGTGATAGGAACTCAGACTGGTTTCTGTGTTGAAGGAGTTTAAACAAAGGAGTTTAAAACTTTGTAGGTAACTGTCATTATTGCATGCATTTTCCTGCTTTGGGGACTTCCTTGCTACCAGTGTTCTCAACATGTAGAGCAACCACTTCTCTGCACTTGAGGTATATATACACTCCAGATATTTATCAGTTTGTTATGAAGAAACTGTCTATATGAGTTGTTTTATTCAAATATGATGTAGAGTATTGGTCTCCATCACAGTGCATCTAAAGTTACAGAAAATGCTGTGTTTATGGGTAAAAGATTAATTTTGCAGCAGCTCAAATTCTTCCTTATTTCTTTTTTAATAAAAGGGAAGGGAGTTCCGTGTGTAAGTTCGACAATTTCAGATTATACATTTTACCCTGAAGTTTCTTGTGTAATTCTCTGAGAGCATCATAGTATTTTATTGCTAAATCTTTTTTCGGTGTTTAGCATTAAAAATCAGTTCAAGCCTTTCTTTCAGGCTTTTACCAGAATGTTGTAAGGGCTACCTGCAGAAAATAATCAGCCTAGAGTCTTTCAGAGAATTAATGTCTGATGTAGTCAAAATTGTTAATTCTGAAATTATGTAAGTCTTGGTTTGCCCTCTTTTTCTGACTGGTGTTGGCAAGTAGTAACGATTTTGCTTTAATTTGACAGTTTTCGTTAATTTCAATTACAAACCAGTAGCTTTTGGTAAGACTTAGAATTACCTTTTGCTATGTATTATTTATATTTGTAGCCTACTCCAGTGGGTTCAATACATTCAGACCCTGCACTGTCTTCAAACAGAGGAGCATATCAACACAGAGATAAAATGCAACAATCTAAAAATCAGGTAAAGTGCTCATATAAGAGTATCAGTGTTGCTTTCTGTTTTGCCTAACGATTTATGGTATATTGTTGCTTTTGTTAAAACTCCAAAATAAAATTGACTCTCTGTCTTTGGTTTAGTGTATTTCTACATCTCTAGACCTTAAAATGTCCTGAAAGGTTGCTTGTTTGGTGCTGTGGTACAACATACTGATACTTCTTTCAGTTTTAGTCACCGTCTCTTCCCTATATGCTATATCATCTCTTGAGGTTCTAACATGCATGTAAAATATTTTCACTTTTCATTTTTTTTTTTTTAATTTTTTTATTTTTTTTTAACCAGGATAATGACCAAGGTGGTAAAAGCATTAGGAATTTAGATCTGTGTCCATTTATCTAAGCTAAGTAAAAGGGTTGTGTTGGACTTTGTTTCTTAGTTTCAGCTACTTTACTGCTGTGTGAAAATGCATGTGTAGGCATACATAAGTATGCATAAAATCTTGATGTACAGCGTATAGAGGAATTACAGTGTTTCTGTGCTTTTTAAAACTAATACATGTATAATCGTTAATTTTTGGAATTTTTATTTCTTTTTTTTTTGCATATACTCCTCATGCATTGAAATTGAAAAATGATAGTCGACAGACCATAGAGCAGCTTGGGACTCACAGGAAGGCAATCCACATCATTTGAGGGCTCATCTAGGAGCTGATAGACATGGTGGCTCAGTACAGGTATTTTTCTTCTTCTTTGCATGACTTAATCAGTCATCTTCCATTATGTAATACTAGTTTCCTGTAGTGCATGACATGATTACTATTTTCATATTAATGAACAGTAATGTTCAGAATGTTCCTATTATTCCCTACTCCACAGTTGCCTAGCTGAAATAAAATCAGGTGCAGAAAACTGTATATCTTTTATGTATGTGGAATTTCTGCTATGTGTTTCTTAGTGACAGCTAAACCAGCAGAGCTTTCTCTTTTTGAAGGAATATGGATTTAGATCAGTGCAAGCAACTGAAGTTTAGATTTTTGAAGTGCTGTTTGGTTGTATTAACAACTAAACTGTTGACGCAGGAGTCATGGACAACGCAGAGACGATCAATGTGATCAAGCAATTGCCATTTATTACAAAGCCTTAACCTCTTATATACTATTTCTTACATGCACTTACAGTGATTTGGCATATTATGATTGGATACATATCTTGAAGACCCTTAGTGACTAACATATAATTGGTTAAGCACAGATGTGAGAACTTTACCTCGAAAGTTTGCCAACAGTCCACAGTTCTCATTAACTCGGTGAATTCCAGCTTCTTATCTTGCTTGCTTAAGCTTCCTTGGGCCTGTCATGGCCTTGCTGTATCTTTCAGGATTTACGTACCAATTATCCATTCTCCTGTGAGAACACTGTCTCCACACTAAACCACTGTTGACTGAATCCAATGTTGTCCAACCTTCCCCCACCCCTGCCATTGCAGGGTGTTGGAACTCCATGATCTTCCAACAGAAACCATTTATGGTTATGATTTTTACTCTTTAAGCAAACCTCAAATTAAAGTGTTGAGTAGTGATTTTTGCTTAAACTCTGCTACTTTTGTTCAAACAATAGTTGACTAGAGGAATGTTTCACAGGGCAATACTTAACATTTACCAGTGGAAAATGAATAGAAAACAACAATTTTTCCTTTGTTATTAGTGTTTTTCATCTTTAAAGAGCTTTTTTTTCCTGTTTTGCTCTTAATTTTATTATCTGGTGTCTTGTTTTTTGAATATATTTAGGGGTAAGAAGATTGAAATAATATTTCAAGAAATAGAAGTTTTTTATGGAAGGATTCAAAATGCCAGCTGTGAAGTCTATAGGAAGTTTTGGGTTTTCACTCCAAAATTAAAATAATTTAGCTTTGTAAAGTGTTATCTGGGGAAATGTCATGGTTTAACCAGCTGGCAGCCAAGTACCGTGCAGCCACTCTCTCACACCACGTTCCTCCCTTCTTGGGTAGGATGAGGAGGAGAATCCAAAGAATGTAAAACTCATGGTTGAGGTAAGAACAGCTTAATAATTGAAATAAAGTGCAATATAATACTAATAATGATAGGGGAAATAACAAGGAGAGGAATATGAAACTAAAACAGAAAAGGAAAAAAAACCCCAATAAACAGCAGTGATGCACAGTGCAATTGCTCACCACCCACTGATCAATACTCAGCCTGACCAGTAATCTGGGTGTTCTGGGTAACTCCTCCCATGATGTGCTGTGATAGGGAATACCCCTTTGGCTAGTTTGGGTCTGGTGCCCTGTCTCTGCTTCCTCACAGCTTCTTGTGCCCCTCCTCACTGAGAGAGCATGAGAGACTGAAAAGTCCTTGATCAGGGTTGGTGCTACTGAGCAACAACTAAAACTTCAATGTGTTACTGGCATTGCTCTCAGACTGAAGCCAAAAGTCAGAACTGTACTAGTTACTAGGGACAGAATTAACTCTATTGCAGAAGAAACCAGGACAGGAAAAAAATTACTTTCTTTGTCTGCTGCATTGTTGATTCTGACAATCCTAAGTTACCTAAGTTTCTCATGAAGTTTTAATTTGGATAAAAATTGACAATGCTTGAAGAAAGAACGAGAAATCCAGGGGTAAAGAAAACAGTGCTGTAGTCTCATCAGTGTGATAATTCCATATTTTTTAAATTCTTTAAAACCCAGTTCAAACTTTACAGTTTCTAAGCTTTGCTGCTTCAGAAACTGCTGTGATACAAAAAAATTATCAGATAATAATTAATCACTGTGTATCAGGAAAAATTTAAAAATTGTTCTGTGCTTGCCTTAAGTTTTTTTTAAAGTTTACCTGGATATTTAACTTGAAGTTCATTAGTTCCCTCAATAGCATTAGTTTTAAAGGTAGTAATTTATCTTTTGAGAAGTGTATTAATGTGGAATCAAAACTAGATTCAAAATTGTATCCTCCAAAATTATTAAATTTCTTATTTTTTTAATTTTTAGGTTAGAAAAATAGATATTTAACTTGTTAAATTCCAGTTACTGGAACTTCCAAATTTTATAACATATTGCTCTTTTGGCAGTTGGAGCACTTTAAGAAACCTTTTATTTTTTCTCAGGTGCAATGTAACAATTGCAGGAGAATTTATTCCATTGTAATAGGTGCTAAACACTCTTTGGGAGTGGGAAAATATTTTCTAGGAGATACCAGTAGTATTCCTTTATGTTAATATAATGTTCCTCCTTTCATTCTCAAAGAATGTGGGTGTTCTGAGATCAGATCCCTTAGATCACCTAAGACTAAGCAGTTGCCATGTAAAAAGTGCAGTTTTCAGAAGTGCAGCCACTTGGTCTGTCTTTGAAGATTAAGTGTATTTTCAGGACATCTTAATTGTGGAGCTGTCATACATCCTCATTAGAGGCACTTACAAAACCACATAGTATCTTCAGTTTTGTTTTGAAGTTTGAGCCCTTGACTGTTGTCAAATACCCCTTTGTTGTAGTGGTTCTAACTGAATCCTGCTGTTAAGTAGGAGAATTAGCTGGCCAGGTTAGCTGAACTCCTAATTGCCCCCAGGAAGACAAGTTCTAAAAGTGCCTCACATAATTGTTCAAAGGAAAGTTGAGTCTAAAGTATGAAATTAAAGTGTTGTTTATTTTTTTTTTTTCTGTAACATTAGTGAGTCAGTTTTCATCTTTGAGATCCATTGAATTATCCATGTCTCTGCGAGAAGAAAAAAACCCTGGCAGGTAACTGGGAAGTGACAGAATGTTTTTCAGGTCTCTGCTACTAGTCATTTGCAATACTGCTGTTGGTGTTGTCTCTAAGATACTTTTTTAGAAGATTGTTAAAATATGTTAGTGATATGAACCTGTTGGAGCAAGTCCAGAGTTGGACCAAAAAGATGGTCAGCGGGCTGAAGCACCTCTGCTGTGAAGGTGGGCTGAGAGAGCTGGGCTTGTTCAGCCTGGAGAAGAGAAAGCTCAAGGGAGATCTTCCAGTACCAAAACAGGGTCCACAAGAAACCTGGAGAGGGACTTTTCACAAGGAAGGGCATGTAGGGACAGGACAAGGGGGAATGATTTTAAACTGAAACAGGGGAGATTTAGATAAAAGGAAGAAATTTGTCAGAACTATAAGGGTAGTGAGTCACTGCAACAGGTTGCCTGAGGAAGCTGTGCTGTCCCATCCCTGGAAGTGTTCAAGGCCAGATTGGAGGGGGCTTCGAGCAGCCTCGTCTAGTGGAAGGTGTCCCTGCTTGTAGCAGCAGGGTGTGAGCTAGATGATCTTTAAGGTCCCTTCTAACTCAAACCATTCTATGATTCTTCACTGTGACATTTTAAATTTAATTGAACTGAATGTTGGTATGCATGTAGTATATAGCAGCCCATTTTTCTGGTTGGTGTAGCCTTATTAATGAAAACAACTTGTACCTACCAGCAGTTTATTCAGCTACTTCCTGTGTCTGTCTTCTAGTAAACTTGCCTCAGTTCCCAAAAATGTCCGTTGCACAACACCAAATTGTTTCCTTCTCTGCATGAACTACAAACTGCTTATGCACTCCTAATGACTGTACTAATCTGTTCTTTTTTCCCCCCTGACTTGCTAGCTGGTCTCCTTTCTCTTATTCTTTCTCCTTCTGTTTTCCCATTTGGAAATTCTTTAAAAGGAGGTTAAATTAAAAGATCAGGTTAAAGAGTTCCCTGTGCAGTGCCACAGAGCTTGAAAGGTTCTTACGAACTGCTTGAAAGGTTAGATACTTGATATAAACTGCAAGACATATCTCCTTAAAGAAGTCAAGATAGCTGTGAATTAGAGGAAATAAATCAATTTCCCTAAGCTTTTGTGAATTAAAAAAAGTTAATTCTAGTGTGACTGTTTTTTTTTTTTATTTTTTATTATTCTTTTTGTCTTAACTGTAAACTTTTTGAAGGTAAAATACAGCATTCTGTAGTATCACTAAGGAATTGCTTGGCCTTGAAGGCTGGCTTTATTATTTGAAGAGTAGATAATTCAGTGACTGAGGTGGGTAATGAAACAAAGGATTATATCTATGTCTTTTTCAAAGTACTGCAATTTTTTATTGTAACTATAAGCATAAAAACTGGCAAAATTTTGGTTTATGAGAGACTTTTTGAATTATTTTTCAATATAGCGAGTAAAAGATCAGTTTACATACTAATCCAAAACAAAACATGGGACTAGTTAGATTTACTGTTACTGTCTGGGGAACTGGTATTCAGGCTTGCCTCTGTTGTCTTTTAAGCGGCCCTTATCAGGCTTCTGAAGGACCATATGTTTACGAAACTAACCTTTCCCGCAATTGATATGTCTCCTTATTAGGTAGCAGGGCTAGTATTTTGTTTGCCACATGCCTAGAGGATAGCAAGAAACATGATACATGTACTTCTTCCTGTATGTGCTTTTCAAATTAAAGTTTTAAAGAACTGATTAAATTTGAAGAAACTAAATTTAAACCATTGTAAGATCTGTTATCGAAGTGCTTAAAGTTGTTTCATATTTTTCAGTTTAGTGATTAATCTTCCATTTATGTATAATTGAGTACCCTAAGTTAATCTTCAGCATTGCAGCACTTCTAATTTGCAACTTAGTTTGAAACATTAGTCTTCAGAAACTGAATTATGTGAAATTTGGTGACTTTTCACTGAAAAATGTTAATGTAGTTTTAGCCAAATTTTTAGGTGCAGAAGTGTAGCTCCAATATCCACATTTTTCTCAACTGTATACGAATCTATTAAGAGATTAATTATGCCTCCCATCTTTTATTAGGCTGCTGAGGAAATCCAGTCCAACTCAAGTCATGAATAGAGAAATGAAATTAAAAGTTTGTTTAAGCAGTATTAGTTTTGTGTATTGGTTCTTCTTTCTCCTTTTCCAAAGTTACAGCTTTTTATGTAGATCCAGTACGATGCATTTTGTTTGTACCTTGTTTATGGTACATCCTGGCTACAGAATTTGGTGTACCATACCTTCAGTGCAAACACTCTTCCACGTGACTTACTCTGATTCAGTTTTGTTACATTCCCGTATCTTTCCACCTGTGTCATGATAAGTTTTGAGATGATTGGCATGTAGTTAGAGAGAGAAATGTAATGGTTGGTCTAACTTAAGCCTCTGTGCACCAAGCTCAGAAGTGTACAAGCGTTGTCACTGCTTTGTTTACGGTGCATTATCAGTCTATTACCAAATGTACTTTTTGGTCAAATTGCAAAATAGTTTACTGATGTCACAGGGAATTAACTTCTGTCATTGTAGGTTATTTTAGCAAATTACAGAACTTTCAGTTGTAAGATTATACAGTTGAATAACGTTACTGCTATGGAACTAAAGCAGTGCAGCCTGCCTCTTGTTGTGCTTTTGAATGAATCTTTGTTGTTTTTTAAATAGTGTAAATATTTTGCTCTGTTGCAGATGTATTAATTCTTGGCTCTGCTTCTTACTGAGACCATTCTTATAGTTCTTTTCAGCAGTAGTAGACTAGATTGAAACCCAGGCCGTTTGTGATTCTGGAGAAGCATGACTGATGCTGGTTTTCCTACTGCCAGTAAATAATACCCTTTGGTTCATTTACACTTTCAGAGGTCTCAATTCTTTCCAGAAGGATGGATATCATTTCCTTTTATCTAAACTAATCCATACAATAGGCAGTTATACTTGATTGTATTTGGTTGTGTATTTGGTGGAAGTGTCTGGTGTTCCAAGGACTGAAGACTCCTTGATCTCTGTCTCCTTGACAGAGACAAACCAGGGCAAGGCAGGATAGTCTTCTGCTCACTGATTCAAAGATTTATACGAAGTTTGTATCAAAGATTCTTAGAGAAAACAGTCAAATTAATAAGAAAACACCTTAGGGCAAATGCTGCCTTGAAAAGAAAGACTTCTCCCACAAATGGTTTGCTAAAGTAGTTTTCCTACCAATTTCTGACACTGAATGTTTAGTGCTTCTGCCATCCCCAGTGATATGAAACTAAGCTTAAACCATATTGAAACTCTACTGACTTACCTTGTGTCATAGAAATGAAGTCTAATCTCCCAGAAGTCTTCAGTTATATTGTCCAGGATTCAAATAACTGGTCCTGAAATCTCACATTTCCTTTTGCTTTATCACCTGGCTGCATGGGGGTTTTGGCAGTGGTTCTTATTAGTGAAACTAGAAAAAGAAAACTCAGCCTGTTGTAGACATGTGGCATTAAAAATGGCTTAAGTTCAGCAATCTTTTGAAGCTATGTACTTGGTTGCAATAGGAACCACAAAGCAAATCCCAATACACAAGGCTCTGTTAGCTCAGGTTATAAATAGATGGGGCATAACTTCCACGTTAGGAGGAGAGCTTGGAAGGGTGAGGGGAATAGCAACATTATGATGATGATGACTTTCCTTCTCTTTGCTTTCTTCTATCTTAATCTGTGATAATGTTTTCCAGATGTTTTCTGAAGGCTTTTATATTACTTCACCAGAACAATATTTTTGTGTAATGTTCCTTTGCCAATAATTTTGCTGATATTCTGTGCCTAGTAGAGTTCTTGGTACTCTAATGAGTCAGTCAGCACTGCCAGCTGCCCTGACCAGATTTGCACTTGTCTGTATCTAGTTAACCATCTTCCTGGCAGATTCTGTGAGGTGAATAAGCAAGACGCCCCTGGAATAGCGTCATCCAGAAAAGCTGAGAGAAAGTGCTGGGTTACATTTAATTTAAAGTCAAAACAAACATTCCCAGAGAACCAGACCTGTCCTGATGGCTCAAGAATTTACAAAGGAATTTGAGGATAAATGAATGGGAATTAAGAGGAATCTAATTTTTTTTTTTTTGACAGCAGTATGTGTGCTCGTGCTCTGATAGTGAAAAACAAACACCACTGACACTCTTAGGTGTAGAAAATGTCTCATATTTCGCTTCCTTTGGTGAGTACTTTTGAGGTACAGCTGAAACAGGCCACACAGAAAAGAAAACTAAGAACCTTAAATGCACTAAAGAAGCAGAGATAGGGTAAGACAAGACTGACTGAACTGATACCAGGAAAGAGGCTTGTACCTTCCCTTAAGGCTCTGAAGAGACATGAGAGAGATGAGCAAACCTGAAAACAGAATTGCTTTGCTTGGTTCTTTCACTTTGAGTCTGCCATGTAGCTGTCAGTTCCACTGGTAGATACGAAAGAAAAATGGCAGGAGTGCAGGGATGCAGGAATAAACGTGGAAAAGATATTGTTACTGGAATAAAAAGAATTGTGGAATAAACAAAAGTGACCATTTTTTGGAAGATGTATCTATGGCATTAGCATAATTTCAGGTATTTCTGGTGATTTCAGGTAGTAAGCTCAACAAATGGAGAACTGAACACAGATGACCCAACTGCAGGCCATTCAAATGCACCCATCACAGCTCCTGCAGAAGCAGAAGTACTGGATGAAACTAAGTATGTCCATCTTTTCATTTTCTTAGGATCTTGTGTGCTCGCCTACTTCAAAATTTTTATTGTATAATAATTAAAAAATATTTTAAAAATGCCACTCGGTGAGGGGGCAAAACTATAGTGCTGTACTCAATTTTGGCTTTAAATACTTAAATAAAATAATAAATTTTCTCTGACTTGTGCTTTTTAGGCTAAACCCTCAGTAACACATCTCTACACTAGAGAAGTGCATGTGTTTTTGATATTTCAATTAATTTTGAAATAATTAAGATAGTTTTCTGACTATCAAATTACACATGAAAGATGTAAAATTCTTCCTCTGTGTTCCTTCTGATTCTCTTTTTTTCCTCTTACTCTCTTTCTCTATAGCTGCCAGAAAGTGTTGAACATGTGGTGAGTTCTACAGCACATGCAGGCAAAAATAACCCTAGGGGCTTTGTTTTTTGTTAGTTGGTTTAAAACTAATGTCAGAAATCTTTAAAATAAAAAATCCACTTGAAAATCACATAATATGTTTTATTAAAAAACTATTTTTACAGTTACACCTTCAGGACCTGTTTTGCCTGCTTCAAATCTTCCTTGCTTTTAAGTTGTGTAGTCTGTAGTGTACTTTATTTAATACTCTTAGGTGAGTAGTAGAATGTTTTCCTACTTGCTATCCTGTTTTAGAGGGAAAAACATTCTTTCCAGATGTTGTAATATTCAACTAGTATTTTAACATCTAGACAATAACTCACTTATGTAAGCAAGTAACAAACGCTAGCAAATACTTGAAATTTGCCCATTATCTCTGAAGCATAGTATTTACCAGAGTATTAGTCTTTGACAACCTGCTAGTAAATTACTAAAACGTAACTTCAGGGTTCCTTAAAGTCACAGTGTAATGAAAATGGGAAAATATTAAGGTCTGTTAACGTGGGATGGACAACTTACGTATATATGTTTGAGTGCTAAAGGCAGACTTGCAAAATATTCTTCATAGTTAAAGGCGATATAACTTTCAAGATTTTTTTTCTATAATATTGCTTGGAATAGGATTTTACAAATGCATGGATCTAGTTTATCATAAAATAGAGGCACGCAAGTATGAGAGATGAATCGCTAGCATATCAGTCCAGTAACCATTTGTTAATAGCAATAAATTTTGTAGGAGCTATTATCCTAAGTTTTAGATAAAGGGAAATATCTCAAAGTAAATTTTTTTCTTGAAGTTATTTTTCTGCAGGTTCTGGTTTTTGTATATAAGATTTATGTGCATGTGTAGTTAAAAATTGTGAATGGAGGTATCTCTTGTGCCATACTTGTGCACTAGCTTTCTGTGCGAACTGCTAAGACCACTTCTGTACCTGCCATCTTCAGAGTACTGTATTATTATTATCCTGGCAAGAATTTAGTTTTCTTATTTATATATATTTAAAGCAAAAAAAGAAAAAAAAAAAAAGACCCCAAAAAGCAAGGATGTTGATGGCCTGCACATAGACCAATCCCCTATCCCTTCCCTTTGGATAAATGCTATGATAAGCTTCCTTTTGTCAGGTTTATGTACACACAGGAAAAGATCGAATTTCTAAAGTTCTGAGTACTGCTTACCACAATTTAAATTTATACTTAGTTATCCATAGAAAGTAAGAGAATTCTCAGAAGCCAAGGTGCTGCAACTGGTTTAAAAACATAGAAGCTCATTTCCTCTGATAGGAATAACTGATAGACAAATATGCTGTCCTTTATAGCATAGTCTTTGCAGGTTTTGTTACAAATACCTAGTTTCAGTATCCTACTCTTTAATATTTTTCAATATGAAACACACAGATGAGTTTTCCAGTGGTGTCTATTTAAACTGCAATTTCCTCATTCACTATTTTGTTGGTTTTTTGTTTTTTTTCTGTGGTTAGATTAGTTTTTTTATTTTGGCAGTAATTAAAGAAACGCACCCAGCATTGCATCAGATATCAATGTATAAGTATACATCTTTTTATCAGGAATAGTACTTTAGAAGGTTTAAGTAATTTTACATTTAATGTTACAGTTACAAGCTTGATATCAAAAAGTATTGTGAGACATTTTAACATCCATTTGTAGCTCTTACACTGCTGAAGAGTATGAGGAAATTCAAGTATCAGTATTTTTTATGTCTGTGATATAGACATTTCCTTTATAAGAAGACATTGTTGTATCAAAAGGCTCTCACTTTGTGCCTCTTCCATAATCTTTTCTCTATATGAAAAATATTAACAAAACTAGCATCTCTAGCTGATACCTGATTTGTAACTTTTCCTCATACTCGGAGGAGATGAGCATGAATGTTTTAGAAACATTTCATTCTTTGCTGTAGATGTTTTCATAGTTTTAGAAGCTTAGCATGGCTATGTCTTCATTTAAAAGCCTGAAGAAATGGTGCCCTATTGTGTGATTTTTAACTATGAACACAAATATTGTTTAGCTGAATACTAGATCTTATGTTACAATTTCAGTAGGATGCTGTAGATCAGAAAGGATAAGGAATTTTTTTCAGTAATCATTTTATTATTTTGGGACATTTACCCAACACTTCCACTGTTTGATGTGTATTTAAGAACTCACATGCAGTATATATTCTAAATCTTGCGCTTCATGCATCTTTGCTGTTGCTGTGTATAAGTAGCAAGCATGACTTAACAGTGGGGGTTGGGCATTGGGTTTTTCAGTGGACTGTGGGAGTTTTTGGGTGTGTGTGTGTTTTGGGGTTTGTTGGTTTTGTTTGGTTTTTTTTTGGGGGGGGTGGGTTGCCTTGTTTTTGTCAACAGTAGCTTTTGTCCCTGTTTCAGTTACCACTGAGTGTAACAACTAGAGTTGTAAAGTAGGGAGAAGACTAACCTTATCACTGTTATGAGCTGGTACTTGTAGACCTTAATCTTCTACAGATGGTCTTCCAGTTATCACTGATCAGTTAGCCTTTCTTCCTTAACTCTTTGCTAGCCTTAACTCTTTGCTAGCCATCAGAACTGTTGCTTGTATGAAGCATGTGTGATTGGGATAAACAAAAGGCCCTGCCATGGGATGACACAGAAGGTCAAACAGGAAAAGGTGGTTTGATCTGTCCTTTTTGCATTTTGCATTCTTTTTGCCACTTTACTGCAAGGTTAAAATTTGGGTGTCTTGAACACGGACCAAAGTTTGTAGGCAAGCTCTAGTGGGGGCTGGTGAAGCTGGTCTGATAAAGAAGGGGAAGATCAGTTTTGGTAGGAGGCTTGCCAGACTGGGCAAGGAGGCTTTAAACTAGATGTGTTGCGGGAGGGGGGCTTCATTCCATCCCAACACACCCAGTCAGTTGCCAGCACCTATAATAAATGCTCGGAGCAATGTAGATATATTCCAGCCGCTCCAGCCAATGAGCCGGCTTCATTTGGAGCTCGGCTCAGATGCCTCTATACAAACGCCTGTAGCATGGGCAACAAACAAGAGTTGTGTGAACGTCTATGGGGGTATGACATAATAGGCATTGCAGAAACATGGTGGGATGGCTCCTATGACTGGAGTGCTGGAATGGAAGGTTACAGACTTTTTAGAAAAGACAGGCCCGGCAGGCACGGAGGGGGAGTTGCTCTTTGTCAGGGATAAGCTGGAGAGTATCGAACTCTGGGAACAGGTGATCAGTTAACAGAGAGTTTGTGGGTCAGGGTTAAAGGGAAAACACTGATGGGAGACATTACTTTGGGGATCTGTTATAGACCACGTGGTCAAGAGGAATCTGTGGATGAAGCACTCTATAGACAGACAGGAAAAGCCTCACACTCACAGGCCCTTGTTCTCATGGGGGACTTCAACCACCCTGACATCTGTTGGAGGGACGGTACGGCCTGGCACAAACAATCCAGGAGGTTCCTCGATTGTGTGGAAGACAACTTCCTTCAGCAAGTAATAGAGGAGCCGAAAAGGAGAGGTGCCATGCTTGACCTCATGCTCACCAACAGGGAGGGGCTCGTTGGAAATGTGGCACTGCAGCGCAGCCTTGGATGCAGCGATCACAAGAGGGTCGAATTCGAGATCCTCAGGACAGTGAGAAGAGCGTGCAGCAAGCTCACTGCCCTGGACATCAAGAGAACAGACTTTGGCGTCTTCAGGAACCTGCGTAGTAAGGTTCCATGGGATATAGCCCTAGAGGGCAGGGGGGCCCAAGACTCTTGGTTGACAGTCAAGGATCACCTGCAACAAGCTCAGGAGTGTAGCATCCCAACCAGAAGGAAGTGCAGCAGGAGGGCCAGGAGACCTCTTTGGATGGATAACGAGCTGCGGAGGAAAATTCAAATGAAAAAAGAAGTTTATAAAAGGTGGAAGCAAGGACAGGCAGCCTGGGAAGAGTACAGGGATGTTGTCTGGGAAGTGAAGGACCAGGTTAGGAAAGCTAAGGCCCAGTTAGAAATAAACTTGGCTAGGGATGTTAAGGGTAACAGGAAGGGATTCTCCAGGTACACAGTAAATAAAAAACAGACTAGGGACAACGTAGGCCCCTCTGGAAGTTCTTGGGAGGACTGGCTACATAGGATTGGAGAAGGCTGAGGTTCTGGATGACTTCTCTACCTCTGACTTCACTGGCAATGGCTCAGACCGCACCACCCAAGTCTTGGAAGGCAGACGCAGGGACTGTGAGAATGAAGACCTTGGGCTCACTGTAGGAGAGGAATTGGTTTGAGAGCATCTTAAAAACCTGACCGTGCACAAGTCCATGGTACCTGGTGAAATTCATCCGCGGGTCCTGAAGGAGCTGGTGAATGAAGTTGCTAAGCTGCTGGCCTTCATATTTGAAAAATCATGGCAGTCAGGTGAAGTCCGAGACGACTGGAAGAAGGGAAATATAAACCCCATTTTCAAGAAGGGGAAAATGGATGACCCAGGGAACTACGGACCAGTCGGTCTCACCTCTGTGCCTGGCAAGATCTTGGAGCAGATTCTCCTGGAAGGCGTGCTAAAACACATGAAAAACAACAAGGTTCTTGGTGACAGCCAGCATGGCTTCACTAAGGGGAAATCCTGCCTGACCAATTTGGTGGCCTTCTATGATGGGGCTACGGAACTGATGGACAGCGGTAAAGCAGTTGATGTCATCTACCTGGACTTGTGCAAAGCATTCGACGCTGTTCCACATAACATCCTTGTCTCTAAATTGGAGAGACAACAATTTGATGGATGGATCACTCGGTGGATAAAGAACTGGCTGGATGACTGCACGCAAAGAGTTGTGGTCAATGGCTCAATGTCCGACTGAAGACCAGTAACGAGTGGTGTCCCTCAGGGATCGGTGTTGGGACCGGTCTTGTTTAACATCTTCATCGCTGACATGGACAGTGGGATTGAGTGCGTCCTCAGCAAGTTTGCCAATTTCACCAAGCTGTGTGGTTCAGTTGATACATTGGAGGGAAGGAATGCCATCCAGAGGGACCCTGACACGCTTGTGAGGTGGGCTGATGCCAACCTCACGAAGTTTAACCATGCCAAGTGCAAGGTCCTACACCTGGGTTGGAGCAATCCCAGGCACAGCTGCAGGCTGGGCAGAGAAGAGATTCAGAGCAGCCCTGCTGAGAAGGACTTGGGGGTTCTGGTTGATGAGAGAAGGAACATGAGCTGGCAGTGTGTACTCGTATCCCAGAAAGCCAACCGTATGCTGGGCTGCATCAAAAGGAGTGTGACCAGCAGGTCGAAGGAGGTGATCCTGCCCCTCTGCTCTGCTCTCGTGAGACCTCATTTGGAGTGCAGTTCTGGTGTCCTCAACATAAAAAGGACATGGAACTGTTGGAACAAGTCCAGAGAAGGGCTACGAGGGTGATTTGATGACTGGAGCAGCTCCTGCATGAAAACAGGCTGAGAAAGTTGGGGCTGTTCAGCCTGGAGAAGAGAAGGCTGCATGGAGACCTCATAGCAGCCTTCCAGTATCTGAAGGGGGCATATAGGGATGCTGGGGAGGGACTCTTCATTAGGGAGTGTAGTGACAGGACAAGGAGTAATGGGTTAAAACTTAAACAGGGGAAGTTTAGATTGAATATAAGGAGGAAATTCTTTCCTGTTAGGGTGGTGAGGCACTGGAATGGGTTGCCCAGGCAGGTTGTGAATGCTGCAGTCCTGGCAGTGTTCAAGGCCAGGTTGGACAAAGCCTTGGGTGATACGGTTTAGTGTGAGGTGTCCCTGCCCATGGCAGGAGTGTTGGAACTTGATGATCTTAAGGTCCTTTCCAACCCTAACTATTCTATGATTCTATGATTATTGATAGTTGTTTAATGTGCTGCCCCATTGAGGAGACAAATATGAAAACACAGCTATCTAAACACGAGAACTGAAGTTTATTTAGCCTGTTGTGCCAAGGGACTGATGAAGTAGTAGAGGGAAGGGTATTTAACAGAAAAAAAGGTATGATAATGTAGTAGGAAATGTTCATAACAATAATACTGAGATTGCTACCTTAGCTAGTATCTCAAAAGTCACTTTAGATTCTACCTGAAAAGTTGTTTCTTGAGTTTTATAAATTGGTATTATACTGCCTGCTATAAAAATGTTTTATATCATATAGAGGAAGAGGTGAGTGGTCATTAAATACTTTCTTTAAAGAGAAATAAAAGACCATTTCCTAGAAACAGAAATTTTCAAATCAAATCCATTATGCAATTGGAATGCATATTGAATAATATGATAAATTTGTGCTTTAATACTCATTAATAATGCCTCTATCTGTAGTTTTAAATATGGTTTCAAGCAGTATAATGAGTATTAAAAGTGATAATGACACTCCCTCTAGTGACACTATTCTTGGGAACATGACTGCATTTCTATTATATATTCTTCAAGAGATTATGCATATGGATCTCTAATATCAGGGTTACGTCTCTTCCATAAAATTTATTATCAGGCACTGTAGTCTGATCTGTCTTACTCCTGTGTTAATGTGTATATATTTTAAAGTGACATTTATTTGGCCTTGGAAGGTTTGACAGGTCTAGTATTTCTAGGTTGAAACTTTTGATCAAGCCAGTCCTGTGGTTTGCAGTGCTCTTGGAGTTTGCATTCTTTCAACAATTTTTAGCTATAATATATATTAAGAATGGGTTTATTTTCTCACACCAAATACAGTCTTCAGCATTTAGCGGAATTCCCTGAACTAGAATACAGTTGAGTAGTTGTTACACAAAAACAAACAAACCACACAAACGAATGAAAAACCCCAAACAAGCAAGAAACCACAAAACCAAACCAAAACAAAAAAACCTAATCAACAAAAAAAAAAACCACCACAAAACACCAACCAATAAGATGACACAACTCTTACTAGAAATTATAGTATTATGCAAACATTAGAAGATGAGGAGAAAAAAAAAACCAGTGATTTATGTTGGTTAAATATAGAACTCTTGAATTTGCACATTGCATGATGCCCTTCTTCTCTGGTTGACAGAGAAGCAGCAAACTAAACCGGCTATGGAGAAGAATAAGGGAGAGTATCAGATTTGCAGCAGGGATGGATCAAAATTTTCTGGGTAGGAAAGCAAGAAAACCTAAAATTGTCCTTGAATTACACAGCAAATCCACTCAGTCCTGAACATTTAAAAAGTGTGATCTGCTATTCTTTGAGACATGCTCCATATAAGCAAAATACAGTTAAACAGTGAAGAGTTAAAATTCCGGATTATTTTTCTAGAATATAAATTAACTGTCTGCACATCTCCCTGCACTTACTTGTAACCTGTGTTCTGTATATAGTAAAATTATGAATCAAGACAAAAATTTTCTGTAAGCTTTCTTTAAGGCTTGCTAATCTGAAATAGGTACAAAAGGGATTTAGCATCACAGTCCAAGGTAGGATTTCCTCATTATGGGATCACAGGATAATTCACATTGAAAGGGAGGGGGTACTGTATTTTTTTTAAATATATATATATAAATATTTGTCATGTACACATACACAAAATACTTGGGAAAAGATTGAGTTGAAAGACGAATTAAACTAATTTGGACTCCATGCACGTGCATATAAATTCAAAGCTTAAGTGATAGTGTCTGTAGATAGAAGCTAGGAAAAAGGCTTAGTAGTTAGGGTAATATTTCAGTTGCAGTTGGTGGTCTTGAAAAACAGTTATGAGTGTCTTAGAAGTACTTAAAGTTAATATGGTGTATTTCTGCTAACTGTAAAAAAAGAAAAATAATGTAATTTCTCTGTACTGAATTTTAATTTTGGGCTTCCTTTCCAGCAATAACCAAACTTTTTTTTTTTTTTTTCCTACTGAAAGTTATATAACTCTCAGAGCAGCTCTGGTCTGCTTCTGCCCACTGCTACTTTTTCAGTGACTGAGCAACAGGGTGCCTTGGAGGTTTTGAGAAGGTAACTTCTCTGTCCCATTACTTTGGATGTTGTTCTCATCCCTCGTAGAACTTTATTTTCAGACCCTTATTGTCCCTCGTTTTCAAATGCTTTCACCATTTGCGGTGTTCCAAACTAAATCAACAGGATTACTTTTGAATTTTAGTGACATAAAATGCCTGGTGAACTTAAGGACGTATAGATAGCTTATTATGTTTAATGCACTTGAGTGTATAGCGCTTGCAAGTGAGAATTCGGTAACCAAAGTACAGAACTCCAGTGGGCAACCGAAGGTAGACAGCTTGCATGTCCACTTTTGATTGAAAATTGTGAATACTTTCCCAAGTGGAATTTCTGTTCTTAAAGGTGGTGGTCAGGAGCTGGGTGTTGCATCAAAATAAGTAAATGGGGCAAGAAGGTCAGGAAGCTTCCATGGCTGGATAAGGAGCTGCTGAGAAAACTTAGAACTTGAAGAATATAGAAAGTGGAAAGGAGGACAAGAAGCCTGAGAAGAATACAGGGGCGTTGTCTGGGAACCTAGGGACCAGGTCACGAAAGCTAAGGCCCAGTCAGAACTGAGTCTGGCAAAGGATGTCAAAGATAACAGGAAAGGCTTCTCTAAGTATGTAACGCACAAAAGACAGATTAGAGATAACGTGGGCTCTCTTTGAAAGCTGTCAGGAGAACTGGCTACGCTGGATTTGGAGAAGGCTGAGCTTCTCAATGATGTCATTGCCTCAGTCTTCACTGGCAAATGCTCTGACCACAGCACTCAAGTCTTGGAAGGCAGATGCAGGGGCTGGGACAATGAAGACTTAAGAACATGTGGTAGGAGAGAATTAGGTTTGAGATCATCTTTGCAACCTGAATGTGCGCAAGTCCATGGGACCTGATGAAATCCATTTGCGAGTCCTGAAGGAGCTGGTGAACAAAGTTGCTAAATCACTGTCATACTTGCAAAATCATGGCAGTCAGTGAAGTTCCTGACGACTAGGAAATGGGAAAAATAGCCCCATTTTCAAGAAGGAGAAAATGGAAGACCAGGGAAACTACAAACCAGTCCGTCTTACCTCTTTACTTGGCAAAATCTTGGATCCAATTCTCCTGGAAAGCATGCTAAGTAAGGCACACGAAAAACAATGAGGTGGTTGATAATAACCAACATGGCTTCACAAAGGACAAATCCTGTCTGACCCATTTGGTGTCCTTACTATGATGGGGCTACAGAAATGACGAACAGGGGCAGAGCAGCTGACATCATCTACCCGGACTTGTGCAAAGCATTTGACACTGTCCCCCATGACATCCTGCTCTCTAAACTGGAGGGAGAGACATCAATGTGATAGATGAACCACTTGGTGGATAAAGAATTGTCTGGATGGCAGCACGCATAGAGTTGTGGTCACCAGCTCAATGTCCAACTGGAGAGTGTGGTGCTCATCAGTGGTCAGTGTTCGGAGCGATCTTGTTCAGCACCTTTGTTGGTGACATAGACAGTGGGATTGATGCAGCCTTATCAAGTTTGCTAATGACACCAAGGTGTGTTGCACGGTTGATATGCTGGAGGGAAGGAATGGGATCCAGAGGGACTTTGACATGCTTGAGAGGTGGGCCAGTGCCAACCTCATGAAGTTCAACCAAGCCAAGTGAGAGGTTTTTCACCTGGGTCAGGGCAAGCCCAGGCACAGCCACAGGTTGGTCAGAGGAGAGATTCAGAGCAGCCCTGCAGAGAAGGACTTGGGGATGTTGACTGATGAGAAACTGAACACAAGCCAGCTTCAGTGTTTACTCACAGCCCAGAAAGTCAACCATATCTTGGGCTGCATCAAAAGGAGTGTGACCAGCAGGTCGAAGGAGGTGATCCTGCCCCTCTGCTGTACCCTCGTGAGACATCACTTGGAGTACTGCATGCAGTTCTGGTGTTCTCAATGTACGAAGTGTATGGAGCTGTTTGAACAAGTCCAGAGGAGGGGCATGAGGATGATCAGGGGACTGGAGCAGCTCCCACATGGAAACAGGCTGAGAAGTTTGGGGCTGTTCAGCTTGGAGAAGGGAGGCTGCGTGGGCAACTCATACTAGCCTTCCCATATTTGAAGGGGGCCTATAGGGATGTTGGGGAGGGACTCTTCATTAGGGACTGTAGCAACCGAACACAGGTGTATGGGTTCAAACTTAAACAGGGGAAGTTCATGTTATATATAAGGAAGAAGTTCTTTACTGTGAAGTTGGTGAGGCAATGGAACAGGTTGCCCAAGGAAGTGGTAAATCTCCATCCCTGGCAGTGTTCAAGGCCAGGTTGGGTGGGGTCTTGGACAACATAGTCTAGTGTGAGGCAACCCTGCACCTGGCAGGCGGATTGGAACTAGGTGATCTTAAGGTCCTTTCCAACCTTAACCATTCTATGATTCTATGAGCAAGTGATCTGCAGCTGGCCAGCTAATTGTGAGGCAGTTGCTGCACAGTAACTTCTAAGTTATTTCATAGCAGATTAAAAATAGCAAAAATCTGTCTGGTCTAAAGCAGTGGATTTGTTCAAATTGCTGCAATAAGGGAAATATTTAAGGTCTCATTCCCTGTTATATTCCTCCAAGGGCTTAGATATTTTCCTTTGGGATTTGTGCTGACTGATGAGTGTAAGCATCCCTGCTCATGGCAGAGGGGTTGGAACTACATGATCTTTAAGGTCCCTTCCAGCTCAATCCATTCTGCGATTCTATAAGGCTAAAATAACATGTAAATGAAATAGTTTTCTTTGTGCATTTATTGTTTTCCTCTTTATTTTCAAAAACACTTCCTGGACTTCTGCAGTCCTTCTCTGTATTATCTATCTCTTACTCCCACTAATTCTTTTTCCTTTTGTTGTGGGGTGGGTTTGTTTTCTTTTGTTTTGTTTTTTCAGTTACTTTCAAATTGCCTCTATTTACTAAGTGAAATTTGCAGTTTGCCAATTTTAGTTCCATTCATGTAGTATGCAGTAAGGCAGTAGAAATAATGTCAGTATATCTCAATATACTTAAAGGTGTTATTTTTCACTGCAGTAGTATCATCACAGCACTGAGTCAGAATGTTAATTATATTGTTATGAACATTTTCTTTTAAGTTATTTTGGGGAATAACCTTCAGGAAAGTTTTCCCAAGTTTTGGATGATGAAGGGAGGTCAAATTGTTTTCTTGTATTAACAACAGTAGTGTTAGAAGTGCACAGTTCAGGTGATACAATCTGAAGCTCAGGCTTCAATTTGTTGTATTACTGGTTAATGTGAGAGTACTGAGGTAATAGAAGATTCCTTATTCTTACAATTTTAATTCAGACTATAATGCTCATGCTTTTGATACCCTCACACAATTGTCTAAACCTAATATCCATTTCTATTATCGCTTTCTTTATGCGATACTTTTTTCAAATGAAGGTGAAATGTGTCAAAAATATTTATACTTCAGTATCTTTCACTAATAAATCAATCACCTATAATAGAGCTTAATGTGTTCCTTATGCTGGCTATACCTGAACCACATACTTCAAATGAAAGAAATAAACAGTTTAGTTTTGTGATTTCTTTTTATGTCACATGTAATTCATGTCACATCTGCAGGTGCTGCTGTTTTTTCAAGCGGAGGAAAAGGAAAGCCATTCAGCGCTACAAATGACTAGAATCAGGCAGAACATGGGAATTGGTTTATTTGTTCAACTGCTGTCTTGTGATGTTAAAAACAAAAAGATCCTCCCAAACCTTTGTAATGACCACATGTTTTCCAATGGCTCCCTTAGAAACAATGTCATGCCTATGTGCTTTGATTTGGTTCTCCTGCATCCATCTTTTGTTTCTTTAATTCAAGTTTTCTGAAAACTTTAAGGTTTTGTCAAGTATTAATGCTTCTTCGACCATCAATAAATGGACCAATGAAATGGTACAAATGGACCAATGAAATGGTACAAATAAACAGTATCTTCAGCAAAACTAAACTTGAAAAGTATTTCTCCTATCTTAGGAAGTACTAGCAATGTCTTAGCTGAAGACAGATGTCATAAATCTGTTACTTGCTTTTGATACGCTGCTACAAACTCAAGATTTCTTTTCTGGCACCTGCATTGATTTCTTTTTGTCCCAGTTATACAGTACTGGTGACACAGTAATCAATTTGTATCTTCATTAAACCCTCTCTGTGATATCATGGTGAAGTCACTGTCTAAAGATACTGAGAAGGCTGATTTAACTGGTGATAGATGTCTAAATACTATTGAAACTAATGAAAAGAATGTATGTGTCTGGGTTTGAAAACTTGCTGCCATTATGCCTACAATGGAATTGCAGAAAAGCTCAAATAACAAGAATTTTTATATAAAGAATACAAGTTTGTATAATTTAAGTTGTTCTTCAAGTAATAATAGCAAAATTGAAATAGCTTGATAAGAAATCTACAGAGGAATTCTAACAGAAGAAAGAAATATGAATCTGGTTTAAGTAGAATCAGTATTAAAACCTATTTGTTCACTAAGGTGATTGATGATTGACAACATCTTTAAAATATGGATGTGCCATGTAATGTTAGACATCTGTTTGAAAATTATTCTACTCTTTAATTTAGAAAACAAAGGCAATGGAAATGAATTTGATTTTTTTTCCTTTGAGTACTGGCCTATAGCACCAAAAATTTCCCAAGATTTTTTTTCATGGAAACTTCTTGTCTTTCAAGGTAATGGAACTACTGTAGCAGGATGGAAAACTTGTGTCAGGTACTTCCCCACTGTCCAATGAAGAACCTGCAATATGAACAAAGCAGCAATTCTGTAGACAAGGCAGCCCATTCCTTATTTTTCAGAAAATATGTGCTTCTTCTAAAGCCATAATGACAGAAATGTGCTTTTGTTTTGCAGCCAGTTTGTGGTAGTTTAAGTCCAGATGGTAATTCAGAACCACAAAACCGCTTGCTCACTCCTCCCCTTTCTTCCTCACCCTGCTCCCAGAGGGATGGGGAGGAGAATGCAAAGAATATAACTCCCACAGGTTGACATAAGAACAGTCCAGTAATTAAGGTATAACACAAAACCACTGCTGCGACCACCAATGATAATAATAATGATAAGGGAAATAACAAGGGAAGAGAATACAACCGCTCACCACCCGCTGACCAATACCCAATCCCAGCAGTGATCTAGCCCTTCCGGGTAACTGCCCCCAGTTTATACACTGGGCATGATGTGCTGTGGCATGGAATACCTCTTTGGCTAGTTTGGGTCAGGTGTCCTGTCTCTGCTTCCCCCCAGCTTCCCCTCCTCCCTGGCAGAGCATGAGACTCAGAAAGTCCTTGGTCAGAGCAAACATTACTTAGTAACAAATAAAACCATTGGTGTTATCAGCGTTGTTCCTAGGCTGAAAGTCAAAAACCACAGCACTGCACCAGCTACTAAGAAGCAGAAAAATGGCTGCTACTGCTGAATCC